GTGCTTTACGAAATTTTCCCTCTTCTTTTCTACATCGTAACAAAGAACTCTGCAAATGTTTTTGAGTGCTATGATTCTCTGACTATTGAAATTTTGTCTGGCTTTTTATGGAATTGTGTGAGTAATGCACGGAGCAACAATAAAACATAACAATTGGCAGTTTTTTCTTCGGCACAGAAAACTCCTCGGCCGAACAAAAGCAATGATTCCGTTCGGAAATTTGAATCAGACCATTTTTCAGGATTGGATTCCGAAGGTGCACCTTCACCTACGCCGCCGTCCGTTCGACAACCTACTCCCCTCTCAGCTACAGCTGCATTTCCAGAGGGTACTGCAAACGCCTCCGGAAGTCCTGCACCTCCTCCGGCCACAGACGAGTCGACAATGGTCATGTCCTTATTCAAAGACAAGGATGCGGTTGGTGTATGCTTGCAGTTCGAATGCTGTGACTCGTGTGGGTAAAGTGTAGATCAATTCAGTTCACCGCGTCACCATCAACCTCAGAGTCTGCTGCTTGCGGTGACTCTTCCGCACTTGTCACGACACATATTGACATCAACTCTGCCATTTCGCAAATGCAGCAGCACTTGAATGCCGCTCAACAGCAACATACGGTCCAGACTAATGATGTTAAAGGTAAGTTTGATACAAATATTTTGAAGGGTAAATTTGGTGAGCGGAGGAGAAATCTCAGTTCAATTACAGCGCGCAAACATTACTTTTAAAAGCTTGTAAATTGATGATGAGAATTGGGCTATCACACTAAATATGAAATGCACACGACATGACTTTGCAAATCCTCACCTTAAAAGGGAAGGATACTTATTAGTCGAAGTGATCATTCAAAAGGTGATAAACCTGGTAAATGCAGCCTGAAACACCGATTTTATATCTCTCTCAAAACTATGACACAATTTGCTAGAAGAAATTGCAAAAAAAATTTTTTTATAGAAATGGATTGTGCAGTCTGAAGAATGTCTGAAAGTCTTTTTATCTTAAATTCAAAACAGCAGCGCAAAAGCTGAGTACGTTATAATGACATCATTACCAAATATATCCCTATCCTCGTAGATTAAACTTGATATTCTGTCAATTATTGGCAGACCGTGAAGGCTAATTTTGACAGAAAGCCTTCATAATTTCTTTCAGAAAAACGTTTCGCAGATGCGGAATGGAGATTTCGAATTAACGTTTCTAACTGCATCTATCAGTCTTTAACTTTTTCACATCTTCTTCAGACTATGTATCCTTACCTTGGTAGTCTAACAGCTCCAGAAGGTTGCGGCTATAAACATCCACGATTTCTCCTATAAGATTGTCATCCTTTTTTAAGGTCTCCGTCCTACCTGACTCTTTTTCAGTAGCTGACTTGTTGCCTGGATACTCGCCTTGGATGAGGAATGCAGGTCGAAAGAAATCACATCCTGTTTGGGAATTCTTTAAAGATCTCAAAGATACAAGTAAGTTTAATTTCATGCTTTCACGATGCATTAGTGCCTAAAGCAAGTTTTAAACATACATTGAGCTTCAAAATCATGAAAACTCAATCGTACAGGAAGCTTTCTCATTCAAAAAAGGAGAACTATGAATTATCCACATCTTTTCCAAAAATTATAGTATCGCAGCTCTACGTCTCAATTGCAAAGGAACGTCTTTATGACGAATGGAGAGGGGGAGGGGAGATAGTCTCATCTGAAATCTGTTTTCACTCTATCTGTTAGGGGATGACTAGAGCCGGGTGATCTCATCTCGAGGACAGCCGAGCCTGCGGGACCGGAAACAGCACAGCTCTGTAGGATGCT